ATTCACCTCGCTTCCCCATTTATCCCATTTATCTCACTTCCTCCATTTACCTCATTTCCCCTATTTACTCTGCTTCTTTTATTTACCTCACTTTCCTCTTCACCTCGTTTCCCCCTTCACCTCACTTTTCCCTTCACCTTATTTCTCCCTTTACCTCACTTCCTCCCTTTACCTTGTTTTTTTTATTTACCCTACTTCCCTTTTACCTTGCTTCCCACATTCCTTTCGCTTCCCCTTGCTTCTCCCATTTTTTCCACTCACCTCACTTTAAACTCTTTTTTTTTTAACTCTGTAATGGAAAAATTTTTTTTTGTATAAAGTCTTAGCCTCAGATATAATTTAATTACTAATTTATCACTCAGTGGTACAAAATGATATACAATCTATAATACTATTGATAGTTACAGATTAGAAAATTTATTTAATAATTTAAGTGTGACTTAATTGGCTATCAAATAATATAAATAAAGAGGAGATGATAGTATTATCTTTTCAATGTAATTTTTAATTTTTTTTGAAAAAAAACTCACTTTTAATCATACATTTATGAAGTTAATTTTGACAATTTCAACCTCACAAGTGTTCCCACGAACTAGTAAAAGGTAAGGAGAAGAAGGCAAGAAACAAGGTAAGTATAAATTTTATTTATTTTTTTTTTTTAAAAAAAAAAAACTCACTTTTTACTATATATCTGTGAAGCTGATTTTGATGATTTCAACTTCACAAGTATTCTCACAAACCAGTGAAAGGTAAGGAGAGGAAAGGTAAAGGAAAAAAAAAAAGGTAAAGACAAGAGATATAAGTTTTATTTATTTTTTAAAAAAAAAAAAAAGAAAAAAAAACTTATCTTTAACCATATATTCGCAAAGCTGATTTTGACAATTTTGACCTCCACAAGTGTTCTCACGAACTAGCTAAAGGTGAGGAGAAGAAGGCAAGAGACAAGGTAAGTATAAGTTTTATTTATTTTTTTAAAAAAAAAAATTCACCATTAATTTGTACGTCTGCGAAGCTAATTTCAATGATTTCGATTCCACAAGTATTTTCACGAATCAGCAAAAGGTGAGGAGAAAAAAGGTAAAGGGAGAAGAGAAAAGATAAAGGCAAGAGACAAGTAAGTATAAGTTTTATTTATTTTTTTTTTAAAAAAAAAAACAGAAAAAGAAAGATAAAAATCAAATTTTTAAAAAAATTAATTATCAAGTTATACAGGACTCACAGATTTTTATTGTAATTCTATTTATTGAATTTATGATTTTTTAAAATATCAGGTACCCGAAATCTGATATTAATAACAATATTAGGTACCAGACAAAGAAATATTATTTATCACACACAATATAAAAACTATAACTATTTATATGATATCTATAAATATTGGGCATCTAATATATATTTGATATTTTTGATTTTGACCTGTATACCTGATATATATTTAACAAATCATATACACGATATATATTACAAAAATTGGATACCAAAATAAATATCAGTTATATTAAATATACTTATTAGGAGTATAAAAATTTTTTAAAAAAAAATTAAAAGATATATCGGATGCAGGGACACATAAAAATTTGGTACCAAATTTGCCCATGTAAATCCAAATATTCTAGCATATTCCAAACTTTTACAAATATTCAAAAATTTTCTATGTAAATCTAAATATTTTTATGGTGAATCTATACGTGTTGCTCAAATCCCAAATCATTTGAGATTTGGGATGCCAAAATTCCAAATTACTAGTATTTGGAATTTGGGATTTGGGATTTTGGCAAAAAATACTAATCATAATTTGAAATTTGGGATTTGGGATTTTGGCATTTGGGATTTTGGCATTTGGGATTTTGGCATTTGGATTTTGAATTTGGGTGACAGGTATAGGTGGATCTAACCATATGATTTTAGGCTAATCAAAATTATCAAAATTGGTATAGATTTGATTAAATCGCCGTAAAAAAATAATCATAGAAAAATATTGCAACAATGGGGTGGTTAAAAATTATTTCACCTTGTTCACAGGCACAAGAATTTTTAGAGGATCTTTTTGCAGATAATAATAAACTTTTTTGCAAGTTTTGTAATATAAGTATTGACTGACAAAATAAGGCCATTATTACTACACATATAAATTTAAAAGCTCACAAAGATTCCCGCCGTTCATACGTCGCTGCCAATCGTAATGACCGTCAACAGTTTCTTCATGCCACAATAGTAGTCGCAGATGGGAGAAAACAAATAATTCATGATTTAGTAAAAGCCTGGGTAGAAGCAGAGTAAATAGGGGAAATGAGGTAAATGGAGGAAGTGAGATAAATGGGATAAATGGGGAAGCGAGGTGAAT